TATACCAACTAAGCCACGGAACGAACCAACGGACCTCACGAATTTTTCTATGTGCTTGCGTCCCTGTATTGCTTGTTTTTTTTTTATGATACCAAGTGTCGGGACGAAGAAGTCGTGCGCCTGGTGATAAGCGACGTGTCTGTCCATAGCCATTGCAGTGCCTCTCAGAGCTTTAAATAATAATAATGACGCACACAGTCAACATAGCCCCGCATTAGGGAAAACCCTGTGTCACGGGTGCCATAGACAACCACAAATTACACCCAAAATCACGAGGAAAATAAATGTAGGCCATACAATTATTGCTCCCGGCCCGGGAATCGAACTTCGTGGCTGTCCGGCATGGTAACCCTCCGGCCACAGAGGCAGTTAACATTTTGTGCGTTCAGGGAGCTGCCACCTAACTTATTTCAAGTAACTTATTTCACAAGGAGCTAACTAAATGTATAATTTTGTCATATGTGAACCAAGGTTATCAAATAAACAATTTTTCTTTTTTTCTTTCTTTCTACTTATAAAATGATTGAAGGTTCTACGTATACTTCATTTTAAGTATATTTCTCTTCATATTTCAAGATCAACAGGATAATTTAAAAAGATCTATCGACATAATCCGTAACAAAGTGTTCGTGTTGCTAATTGTTAGTTTATTTTATTATCTTATCATAACAAAGATTATCAATCCCTTATTAAAATTCAAGGGCCATAATTTATGGAAATTGGTAATACATAATTATTGTTCATAGTGAACACAGTGCCAAGAAAACATAAAGGCTCGGATGATTCACAGCGTGTACCAGAAACAAATAGTAATATCGCTCGATAAAAGTTTTCTGTAAGAAAAGTTGACAAACTTCTACGCAATCGACAATGCATCTTGTTTTAAATTTACGTATGTGTAAACGTCTCTCCTATTCCAAAATTCCTAAGCGGCTGGAGGGACCGGAAGATATCTAGCTTATCCTCTACTAGCTTCCAGACTATACATAATAAACCGGTCCGAGCTTCCAAATTAAAGGGCAATTCAAGCGCATCGCCGGAACAGACGACCGAGTCTATCCCTACAGCTAAACCACGCACCTCAGCGAGTACATACCTAGAGTCCGGGCGCACCAGAAACGCCCGTGATATCACTGGCGGAGGGCTCGGCCCGGACGCCCGCTGTACCCTGGCCTTAACGGGGAGGAGTCGTCCCACCGGAAATCTCGATCCATCGGGTGGGTAGCTCGAGACGGTGTTCAAGAGGAATGATACGAGAGTTTGTACATTACAGTTCATTAAGCAGTGTACAATTTCGTTATAAAAATTCGCAACCATACCGTTCCACGGCGGTGTAAATTGAGCCTTGAGTATACTCGTTCCTGTATATTGATTAATTAAACAACTTGTTATTTACGTATTCGTAATGAAGTCGTCGTCTACATATTTTTTACAAAAGATTCTGTATAAATTAAAGCTAAAACAATCGCACTTGAGTCAAAGGAAAACGTCCCATAATCGTCCGGTGAATCACGTAGCAAAAAATTTATTATTCAGCCAGCAAGGCCCGCTAGCCTGTTTAACATGTTGTACATGTTCTCAATGTTATCTTGTTAACTTGAGATAGGGATTATAACAACATTTTTACGTACATACTTTGTTTATATTGCTGTTGTTATTGATTCAGCACTCATTGTGGTTGGAAACTTGCACGACTTCTTCCGCAACTTACATAAAAGTTCAATTACCTCTTTTTATTATTATTTTTTTTATGTGGTTCACAAACCCGGATACAATTCCGAGATAAATTAAAAGTATTTCGATAACTCGAGATGTGAACAAAACGTAATTAAAATAAATGCATAAACATATTCAATGTTTATTGCACAAACGCACTTCAAAAATACGTGTTTAAATGGTCATATAAAAAGGCGAGGGACTTAAATTATTACAAAAAATGTAATTAAATTAATTATATAAAGTCATTGTAAACATATCGAACTAATAAACTATAATATGAACTGCTGGAGGTAATGATATGTCATTACACCCGTTCATAGTATAGTTTAGTCCAATCACGGAATGTGAAAGAATTAAAACGCTCTAATTCTTAAGACAGTTTTTAAAAACCCAATCAATATTTCATTAGTATCGATCGATATAGAAAAAACTTAAACGTGCTGTACTAAGCACGTGCGCTTAAATTACCATTAGACGATATTGAGAAGTAGATTAAAAGCGTGAAATCTATTATACTTGCTATTAGGTGAATGATTTCGTGGATAACTTTTAATTACCAATAATGAACCATTATTACATTCTTTATCAACGAGTAAAGACCCAGATCTTAATGATATTCTAAGTGATTTTAGATTTTCTAAATTTTACCGTTATTATTTCAGATGAGGCAACAAAACGGCTTGGTGCTGGCAGCGGCGTGGGTGCTCTTCACAGTCATTCTACCCACCTACACACAAGACAACATCATTGGTTCCTTCATAAATTTTCTCAACGAAGGCACGAATCAATTAGACAACGAACCCCCTGATCAGGCCAATTTACTGTCAGAATATGATTTTATCGTCGTAGGCGCTGGGACAGCAGGCTGCGTTTTGGCGAGTAGATTGACAGAGGTCCCAGAATGGAAAGTACTCCTCGTCGAAGCAGGAATGAACGAGAATTTTATCATGGATATACCGCTTCTAGCAAATTATCTACAGTTCTCGACCGCAAACTGGAGATACAAAACAAAACCTTCAAAGAGATACTGCGCTGGTTTTGAAAACCAACAATGCAATTGGCCGAGAGGCAAAGTTATGGGGGGTTCTAGTGTTTTAAATTATATGATATATACCAGAGGTACTCAACAAGACTATGACAACTGGGCAGCTCTGGGTAATGACGGTTGGGGATGGGATGACGTATTGCCCTACTTCAAAAAAATCGAAAACTTTAATATTCCAAGTTTCGATGATCCCAAATATCATGGACATGATGGATATTTAAACATAGAGCATGCGCCTTTTCGAACTAAAAAAGGAAAGGCTTGGGTTAAAGGAGCTCAGGAGCTAGGATTTAAATACGGTGATCACAATGGAGGTGATTTCGCCGGAGTATCGTTTTTACAACTGTCAATGAAAAATGGAACTCGTCACAGTTCTAACAGAGCATACTTATACCCCATCCACAGAAGAAACAATCTCCACGTGTCAAAAGGAACAATGGTTACCAAACTTATCTTTGACGATACAAAAACAAAAGTAATTGGTGTTGAACTAGAAAAGATGAGACAGAAATACAAGATATTGGCAAAAAAAGAAGTAATTATTTCAGCAGGCGCAATCAATTCGCCACAACTGCTAATGTTGTCAGGTATAGGACCAAAGGATCATTTGGAAGCAATGAGAATCCCAGTAGTGAAAGATTTAAAAGTTGGATATAATTTAATGGACCATATAGCTGCTGGAGGGGTACAATTCATTGTGCGAAACCAAAACTCAACTCTTAGCACTGAATACATTATAAATCACTTAGAATTAGTATTTAAATGGATGTCGACGCATCAAGGGCCACTATCAATTCCAGGCGGTTGTGAAGCTCTTGTATTCATGGAGTTAAAGGATAAATTCAATACAACAGGCTGGCCGGATATGGAACTACTATTTATTGGCGGGGGATTAAACTCTGATCCTAGTTTGCCAAACAATTTCGGTTTCGATGAACAAATCTACTCCAACACATATGGACCTCTGGGTAGAAGTGACGCCTTTATGGTATTCCCAATGTTAATGCGACCTAAATCTAGAGGAAGAGTAATGCTGCAGAGTAAGAATCCTAAAACCCATCCTGCTTTGATTCCGAACTACTTTGAATATCCAGAAGATTTACAGAAGATCGTTGAAGGAATCAAAGTAGCTATTGAGATATCTAAGCAAAGGTCTATGAAAAACATTGGGGCTAAATTGTACGATGTTCCTATAGAGGAATGTTTGAAACATGGACCGTTTGGTAGCGATGCTTATTTCGCATGCCAGGCACAGATGTTTACTTTTACGATCTATCACCAGAGCGGGACGTGTAAGATGGGCTCTGCAAGCGATCCCACTACTGTAGTCGACAACAGATTAAAAGTTCATGGTATAGATAAACTGCGGGTGATAGACGCAAGCATAATGCCTGAAATCGTCTCCAGCCACACAAATTCGCCGGTATACATGATAGCAGAGAAAGGTGCTGATATGATAAAGCAAGATTGGAGAAAATTATGATCTTTCGTATCGATGAAAAGGCTAAATTAGATAAACACTTTAGGGATGGTGTGACCACTTATGTCTATTGCTTTCTAAATTTCTTATCGTGGAAATTTCAGAAAATATACTCGAATTTCTATATATATCTTTGTTAAGATGACAATAGTTTACAATCGCCTTTCTCTTAAACTATAGTAAAAGCGTATCTGTGATGTCATTAATTTAAAAGAATTGTGTATAAAGTAAGCGGTGGACTACGTTAGATTAAGTAGACCAATTTTTATTGGGTATTATTTCTATTTCATACCGAAAAACTTGTTGTTTAAAATTGTTACAAATTTCAAATATAAAGTACGGATAGGAGGTACGGGCTACACAACAAGTTACTTTTCATTATTGTAATATAAATTCTTATCTCTCATTGAAAATTGTGTGTACAGTTACACTGGATCCTTCACTGGACAGATCTTATTGTAAATTACAGAGAATCAAATTTAAATGCTAAGTGGAAAGTTCAGCTTGTTAGCCAGCACAATCAACTGTAAAATTGCATGGACTTCTCCAGCAAACACGAATAAATTTATCTTGACATTTTATACATATTAAACTGCAAACTGAAACCAAGCCACTAAACGAAAAACTCCACTATTGGATAATGGTCATTGTTTCGGTTAATAAGTTTAGACTTGAAAAAGCGAGACTTCGTTTACTGACGATATTGGTTTCAACATGCTAATATGATAAAAAGTTTGTATATAAAGAGAAATAATAAGATAGAGCTCATATTAGTAACTATTACTGCATAATTTTGTTAACAAATTTACAATTGGTCAACGTCATCAATGTAATGGCCTCAATATGACGTTAATTAATAATGGTGGTCGCAGAAGAACATATTGATGGATTTTTCAGGGTGAGATTTTCAATTAAACTGTTGGTTGCTCGGTATTATAAATTAATTATTATACAAAAGTCATTTATTACGAAGCATCGAACAATTCCTTTGCGGTCAAAATGCGGTAATCATATCGAACAACTATATATGTATATAACTCAATATGACCTATAAGTGTCGCTTATCCCATTTTGCCTTTCGAGTGTCGATATGAAGTTATTGTGGTGTACAGAGATCGAAACGACCTAAATTTCTAACTATACACATAGAGTGCATAATACTTCCTTCTGAATCCCGGATTGATTAAAAATAAAAAGCAACAATTCAAAACAAAATAATTACATTTTTACTAGAGTTACAATGAATATTCGGTTACTATTCGGCGGTATTCGGCCGAATAACAGAAACAGGCCGGATAATCTGAAGAACATCTCAATGGTATTCAACTTATTCGGCCTGTAATAGTAACTCATTATAATTTGGCCGAATGCCGAACACCCACAACAGGAGGAAGAAATAAGAAAACCACAATAAATTATTGTAAGCGCAATTTTTTGCTTTTTTATCTTAAAGATCAAAGGAAATATAACATAACAAGTTATTTTTCTAAGAGATTAAAAAAGGTCACATACAAATGACCACTATCTACTTATTATGTAGTTTACTCATGACTAAATAAACGCCCAGTCAAGTACTTATTGTTTGCAAAATAAAATAAAATTTTTAAAAGTTAATCAAACTGAAGTTTTAAGCAATTTTTACTCACAATAAAACCTTTTCTAAATACACTACCGTAGTACTTGCGAGGTACTCATAAAAAATATAGAACAAAGTACAATATAATAATTTCAGGACTTTAGAAGGCGGTATTATCGACTCTATTTGTATTGCTAGAAGTTTAGATTTGCTATCTCTGTTGATGTATTACGCTACGTCATGCAATTTTACAGTCTAATGTTCCCTTATTTCGATGACGTAGTGTTCAAATTTGCAATATGAAACACAATAGTTCGTTAACTGTAGTATGCGGCCATAGGAACTCACCACATTTATTCACATGGAATCGCAATGTTAAAAGACATTGCGCGTATTGCTTCCACTCGGATCGCCGACACTAAAAGCACAAAGTCGTTTTCGCTCTTATTACATGGACATAAAGACTTTTCTGAGCGGTTCTTTTTTTATATAATATTAACGGGACAAAAAGTCGTGCGTTTGATGGTAAGCTACACGCCTGTCCATAACAGATGCAGTGCCACTCAGCTCTTTAAATCGCAAAGACCTGAAGCGCACTGCCACTGCACCCGTCGCCCTGAGATATAAGTTGATAAGTCCCATGTGCCTGTAATTTCACCAGCACCCTTATTCTCCAAAACCTGAACGCAGTAATTGTGACCAATACTGCATGGCTGCAGAAATAGGTAAGATGGCAGTACTACACAGGATTAACTCTTTCACAAGGAGCTACTGCTACTAAAATGGCTTAATACGAATCCGTGTTGATCTTTCACAAGGAGCTACTGCTACTAAAATGGCTTAATACGAATCCGTGTTGATAAATGTGGTGACTCTCGTAAGCGGCACATAGTATTCCTTTAAACAGACTCTTGCTTGGCCACGACCATTATTTACAGTTTTATTTACAAAGACGGTTCAACAATAACAAATAATGATAAACAAATAGTATTTGTTGCATTTTTAGATTATATTCACATATTATTTTTATAGTGGTATGTGCGAAATTATATAAATAGGTATTATTTATTGAAATGAACTTAATAAAGGTTTGATATTAATAAAAACATAAATGAATAGACCAGTCTATATTATTAATATCTCTATTTTATTCCACCTATAATAGTACACCCGTAGAGACTTATTCCTAGTGGTAGAACGTATGGAAGGATTGACAACTTAGAACCCACACAACCATTATAGAACTTATTAAGTTTTCGTTACAAACGGCTCGAACATTAACGTCAAAATTGATAATACAGTTTAAAATGTCAATAGCTGTCATTGCCCCGACCTTCATCCCGAAGTCACAATTCGGCAGCGACCGATCGCCGATTCCTATAAATCTGTCGCAATTTTGACATCGTTTGAATAATATAATAAAAGCCAATGACATAACTTAAGAAAGTGTAATTGAGGGATCTTCTTTTCTTCTTTCTAGCCATTCTCAACCATGTCGATATAGGCCTCCTTCACTTTCTGCCATTTCTCTCGTAACTGTGCCACCTGTATCCAATTCAACCCCGCCACTATCTGATGTCAAAAAACTCATAATACTTTAAAAGTGACTAATATAAAAGCTTTAGGAACTAACAATAATACATCATATTTTATTATGTCATATGACACCAATTACAAGGTCTCAAATGTGAATTTCTTAAATTCACTCCGGTAGACAGCCCAGTACACCCAGACCAAAACTAATACAGAAAAGTTCGTGTACCAAATTAGTTCTAACGGGAATCGAATGAGGGAACTCATCGGTCAGCACACACAATGCAAACCATTGGGATCGTTAAAGGTACATAATGGACCTCCACAAAAATGTACATGCTAAGTATAATCAAGACGAAGAAGCTGCAAGCGCCTGATGGAACAAAAAAGCAATTAATTTAAATGACAAAATACCGCACAAGATAAAACAACTTGTCGAGAGTTCGAGAACAATTTAATAAATCCAAACAATATAATTCTACTGTAAGTCATTGAAGAGTTAGGTAGTCTGCAGTCTGTCTTAACTATAGCATCAATCAAGGTTAACATATTAACGTAACGTCATCGGATTTCTATAGTATATCGAATTTCAAGTCGATCGGACAAGTGGAAATAACATAAATATTAATTTCTCTACACCAATTGAGGAAAGAACAGAGGATCTTTAAACAAACTGATGATCTTTAAACAGATATTCATCACAATACAGTTGAGAACAGTTCCGATTAAATTAGCCTCCAAATAAAAAGTCACTATAAAGTCAGTCACGATGTCCTAAATAGCTACATAGACCTGAGAACTACAATTGTATTAAGTCGAAGAAAATGCAAGCCCCTGATGGTAAGAAATAGCAAATAATTTAACTCGTAAAATTGATACCACAAAACAATAGGAAGATTACAATTCTTGAAATAAACAAAAAAAAACTAAAATAATAAAATGTGCAACAATAGAGTTCGCAAGAAGTAAGTAAACCAAAAATCTGGATGAGGACTTATAAAAGAAGTGAAAGTATAGGCATAATAAACAGCGCTCTGTTAACGACGTGGTACAAAAAAAATCTATTATTATGTCGACATACGATCTCGTTATGCGTGCCGCGGGAAGTAATGGTTAATTTCTGTTTCTATTGTCTTAGTAGAGCAATTATCTATTATTTATGAATTACAGCACGATCGTATTTTTGTTAAGTAATTGTAACAGTTTTGAACACTCTCCTTAAGAGTTATGAAGTCGCTTTGGACTAGCGCGTGTGCTAAAGCGTGGTGTACTAAAGTCCAAAACATCTACTTTTAGAGAAACCCCGTCGACGGCAGTACGATATGAATGGATTAATACTACACAACAACCTTACCTTACCTTACCTTACCTATTTCTCCCGCCAAGCACTAATGTCTGCATTACTGCGTTCCGGTTTAGAAGGGTAAGGGTGCTGCTGAAATTACAGGCACATAGGACTTGTCAACTTATGTCCCAGGGTGACAAGCGCTGTGATAGTACCCCTAAGACCTTTGCGATTTAAAGCCCTGTGCAACATTGCTACTGTTATAGAAAAGCGTGTCGCTTACCACCAGGCGCACGACTTGTTCGTCTCGTCACTTGGTATTATAAAAAAAAAATGTATGCCGATATCTTATTATTACCTACTCATCTACCACATCCTTTTTTATTCAAATTCCGTACCTTTTCCATAACCTATAATTCTGTTTCCCTCACCTTTTGATTGGCTAAATAAAGGCCAAGCGATTAATATTAAGAAAAACATTGACGTGCCGAATAGGCGGGATTTGCACTACTTCTCTTATTATTTATTATCATATGGTAATACAAAGCTACTATTATTAAGATATTTCTCATACACCATAATCACCGCCTTAAAGCGACCAAAACCAATTTTTATATCAAACAAAATGAAACCGTCCACCCGACAGCAAATAACGCAATTTGGGCGTGAAACGAAAGAGCATTGCCATAATTACGGTATCCATTGTACATTTTAAGCACTATGAAATCACGTGATTTCGACAGAATATTAATAGATAGATTAATAAACAAATTGAACGAGCGAACCTTTCAAAATTTAAATGATTTGATCATTTAACCTTTCTTTTTTACTCTAATAAATTGCTTTTACTCCCTATTGTTACTTATTATTGCATTATTATTATTAAATGGTGCAGCAGTAGTGAAATTGTACACAGCGCAATTGGTTATAATTAACGTGTAAAAAAAAAATTATAATATCAAGTGACGGGACGAACAAGTCGTGTGCCTGATGGTAAGGTACACGCCTGTCCATAACACTTACAGTGCCACTCAGAGCTTCACTTTAAATGGAAAAGATCTTAGAGGCACTGCCACTGCGCCCGTCACCCTGAGGCATAAGTTGACAAGTCCCATGTGCTTGTAGTTTCAACAGCGCCCTAACTTACCCTTCAAAACCGGAACACAGTAATGCTGACATTAGTGCTTGGCGGCAGAAATAGGTAACGTGGCAGTACTTCCCTGGACGAACTCTTTCACAAGGAGCTCTACTGCTACAAAAATATATTACACATTTACAACCGAGATATTAACAAACAACTAGGTACTTTTATTAAAAGGGAAATAATAAATGTTTTCATAAACAAATAAAATTGCAGCGAACCGTGTCTCACTGTTATACAAACTAAGCTGGGTTAATGAGTTACTGAAAAATTAAAATAGAATATACAGACAAAATTAATCACCACATTTAGCAAACAATGTAGAGATTGTTCAAATTACGATTGCATCAAAAAAACTATACGAAATTTAATTTGAAATTTACCATAAGCTTTTTTACGTCGAAGAAGGTTTACACCCCTCGGAAAACGTGTAAAGTTCCCAACCCGCATTGGGCTAGCGTAGTGGACCAGGGCCTAAACACTCGCTTGAGAGGAGACCCGTGCCCGGCAGTGGGACGTATAAATGGGTTGATGATAATGATGAAGACAGCACCTGCGGGAATTCTCGGGACTATGCGAGATTTCTCCGGAAGACGCGCGATCTGTTTTTTGACACGCATCATTTGAATCACTTTTCACAGTGTGGAACATCGTGTTCGACATAAAGCATTGTATTCGGCCTTAAAATTATAGGCTTACTTAAAACATCGTGCAATAACAAAAATGTAGTTTAAATTATAGTCCATTATAAAATATTTCAGTACATGGCATGCAGATGAACACGCAAATTTGAATACCAGGCACTTTTTGCTGCTACTAAAGCAGCTGGTTTAAATTGCTGAAATACAATTCATTTGTGTACCCCATTTAATATATTACAAGCAAAATAGAAAAAATAATAATTTGAACATTAAATTGGATATTTTACTTATCACAAATCAGTTTAGTTTAGTGGTACATACCTATATCTGAAATACAATGTAATGCCTTAATCTAGAATCTAATATGTGCTATTTACCAGGTAGGCAAATAGTACATATTAGATTGGTGGTCGTGGGATGGCCGTGGTCGAACGGTTACCACGCCGGACTGCCACGCCGAGGTCTAAGGTTCGATTCCCGGGCCGGGAGGAAATATTTGCATAGCCTACATTTGTTTATCTTGTGAGTTTGGGTGTATTTTGTGGTTGTCTATGTGTGTGTCCATGGCACCCGCGACACAGGGTTTCCCTAGTGTGGGACTATGTTGAGTGTGTGCGTTATTATTATTACTATAAGCAGCATTATTATCATTAATGTAACCATTGCACTGGCCTCCTCTCAGGCGTTTGCGCAGTACGTCCTTCTCCTTCTTCTTCTTGAGGTGCCTCTTCAATCCTGAAGGTTGGCCGTTAGCTTCTTGTATTCGTCTCGGTTAGCAGCCAACCGGAACAGCTGTTCGACCGAGGTAATGCCGGTCCACTCCCGGATGTTTCGCAGCCACGATTTTTTCCTACGGCCTGCGCGTCTCTTTCCCTGCACTTTACCCATCATTATTAATTGCAGCAGCCTATATCTATCGTGCCTGAGCAGGTGCCCGAGATATTCTATCTT